GGGAAAGAGCTTGGGAGAGAAAAATATAGAGGTTCAAACACGTATTAATTGCCTAAAAAAATCTAACAGAAACTGTTTCTTGACTCAATAAACAGAAAATAGAAACCCAGAGCCTCTTCTAGATCTATTTAAACTGCTGCTGCTCCACAACTACTTCAACTAATTGAATATAAGAACAGCTATACTGGGTCAGACTGAATGCCTCTGTAGACCAGTATCTCATCTCCAACATTTGAGAAAGTGAAGGCCTATATAGGTCAGAGTAGACAAGTAAAGCCAGTGGGTAGTGACAGCCCCCTCAAATAATCTCTAAACCTCCACAATTTTTATCTTAATCTCCTGAGCCAGAAACAGCTTCTTTGTATTCACCAGCCTTTGCTTGGGCCTGATGCCATCAGAGATGCCAGCCCACACACGTTAGCTCTCAAGAAACTCTCCTATCCCCAATACTGATAACACGCAACTGCCACCTCTCTCCAGCACAGAGACATAGACATGTGGGGAAATTCTTCACATGTACTTAAGAGTGGAACATTTGTCAAGCACCTTTTAAAAATTAAGCATTCAGGATAGGACAGACTTGTCCCAGAAGACTCAGTGGTTGAGCAGCCGTGGCAGGATACCCAGCCAGTAGGGTGAACTAAACATCTCCTATAAATAAGGACATCTCCCAAAACCAATGAATTTTCTACATGAGATAGAAATACTCATCTAGTTTTGCTCAGCTGAGAAGCAAAGCCTTTGTTCCAGCAGTACAATCAGATGCTGTCCAACATCTCACTACAGCTGAGGAATGTATATCTGGGATTAGAATTGCACCTCTGAATTCCTATTTCTTTTTTCCCCTCTCCCTTCTTTCTGGGGGACAGTTAGGCAAGAGATTTCTAATTGTGCAAGGATCACTGTTCTAGGAAGAAACATTAATCCCACAGTCAGCTCTGCATGCAATGCTTTAGACTGCTAAAAACAACCAATTAAATAACAAAAACAGAAAAAAAAGAAATCTCCACTACACAGCTTTTGAACAATGCCCATAGGGCAACATTTATTTGATGAGTGTCAGAGCTGAAATGTTCTGGTTGTGCTTCTAAAAATGAAAGCAACCATCATTTAAAATATTAAGCGTAAAAAAGAAAAATTTCCCTTTAAAAAGCTAATACAGATGTCTTTTTTATCTAAAGTATTCCTTTCAAAAATCAAAAAGCGTTAGAAACTCTTTTATGACTTTCACTTTGAACTTGTTACTACAAAACCATTTGGCCAAGTTCGAGAGCTCTAAGTTCCCCACTATAGCAAAACACAAATATTTTAACAAAAATTAAATCACATACATCATTTTAACCATTTCAGAATAAGCATATATTTAGGAAACAAAAGTTAATTATCCCAGCACCTGCACATTTTTGTCTGCAAAATTCTCTGATGGGGGGGAGGATACTGGGTCACTACATACTGCTCCAATTTGCCACACTATAAACCCAGAGCAACTCTACCAATGTCATTGTGTTTAATTGAGATAAGACCTTTACAACATGTCAGAAAGGGAGGACCCAACCCCCAAACAAAGCATTATCTTGTATTGCTTGCCTGCAGGAAGGAAAAGGAAGCAACAACAAAAACAATACAGCACTAAGGAAAATCATCTTAATGACACATTTTACTTCTTGCTGTCCAATGACTTCCACATCAGTATTCTGCACTTGTGTATGGAGCTTAAAGATTGTTGCTTCATTTTGCATGGTGTCACACAACACACCAAAATAAACAAGGCAACAAAGGACGAAAGGTACAGCAGAAGCAGAACAGAGCAAAAGGCAGAGCACACAGACAGGTAAGAGCACGATTGAAGAGCCAGAAAGTAGAGCCTCAATGAGAAAGACACAGCAAAGAGATTCAAGGGAACAGGTGGCATGACATGAAATGAGCCATTTCTCCCTCTTACACAAGCAGCTCATTTTTTATTTTTATATTTTGTTAATTAAAGTTGAAAGACAACCATGGGACACCCAAAGCTGTCAGAAGCAAAGACGGATTGATTTCAGCACTGTAACTATTCATTAAGCCTTTCAGTGTCACCAGGAAATCGAAACTTGCAAACTACTGTGATAAACACACAAGAAAGCTCTGGCTGATAGCTATGATGAGCACCCAGTTTTGGAGACAAAGCCAGAATAAAGCACATTTTTGACAATGTCACAGAGCAATTAGAAGACCAAATTAAGACAACTCCAATCTTGAAACATCAGGAGCCTCTGAGTTACACAAGGACAGCGGTCCTGAAGGAGCCCTTGCAGTGACATAGAAACACCTTGCAGTCATATAAGGCAAGACTGAACAGAGAGTAAGTAAGGGCAAAGAGCTTAGTCATCTGAGCACGTACACAAGTAACCAAACATGCACACAGATGTTCGAACGCACACACCTTGCTGGGCACAAAGAGCTGTGACATCAAAAAAACCCCAACCTCCAAAAACCCAACTTACCAGATTTAGAATACAGCACCAGTACGTTATTCCGTGTCCTGAGAAGCTTCTTAAAATCCTTGTGGTCACTTATTTTTTCTATGAGTGGAGACACCTTCAATGAGTACACAAACACTGGCAAGAATGCCTACAGAAACACAAAGCCAGAAATATTAGTAACAGCTTCCATGCTGAGAAACAAAATACAAACTGCTTTTGAAATTGCCTTGACCTTTTTCCATAATCTTGAGACACACTGCCTTAAATAAACTATCATATCGATTTGATCAGCAAAAGCAAAAAAAAGCCATATACATGAGTTATTGAAACTGAACCAACACCACTCCCAGCAAGCATCCTTAAGTGGAAAGATGAGATAAATGCTACATCAAGAAATATGGGTTTAGTTAAGAATCCATCCCCTTTAAAAGTTTCTTCCCTAGTCAAATAATCAGATAAAAATTCTTATGTAAATTTAATATACTGTAACAAGAGAAGCAACAAATTAGCACTTCGAGAGCACTCTTGTCCCTAGATCTCAGAATACGCTGCAAACTCAATCAAGTACTTTGATATCCCACAGAAGACAGTGAGAGCCATGAAGTTAGAACAACTAACCCACATTGATGCAGAGCAGATGAAGGAAATGAAAACAGAATTTGCAAGTAATCCAGCACCCGCATTACAGCACTAACCACAACCCTCTCCCACCCGCCCTTCCGAAGTGGAACAAGGCTCACGTTTCCCAGTGGCCATACTGGATCTCACACAGTGCCTTTGCCTAAGATCAAGTTTGGCTTCCAGTGGCCATATGGAAGGCATGGCATTTAATCTCTCTGCATCTCAGTTCTGTATCTATGCAAATAAATTACTTTTCTGTTGCATCTTTTGGTCTATTTAAATCATAAAAGCTCCAGAGCAAAGTCGGTCCTTTATCCTACTATAAAGTAAAACTCCTATCAAAATATAACCATAACCTCAGCTGGGGCCTCTACTGCTGATTTGTACTGCAATAATCTTCAATAATAATAATCTTATCCATCAGGCTATGCTGCCTCCCTTCTGCACTGTACTGAATTCACACTAATGGAATGATTATGGGAAGCTTAGCTGGAGAAATTACCTAGTTTACATTCACCTTACAGTAAAACCTTAACACTTAATTGCTTGGCTAAAAGCTTTAGCTCATTTGCCTAACACACACAGGAGGTTCAACATTTTCTTAATTACAGAACTAATTTTGATCATGTCTCATTCCAACTGGGCTGGAAAATGTGTCCAGGATGGATGTGAAGTCGTAAGAGGCTGCTCTTCTCGAATCCTGCGTATTACAGATTGCAGCATTCAAAACAAGGCACCAAGCCAGTTAAAGTCGGAACGTGCAGCCCCAGGCACTACACTTCGTTACAAATTCAGTTATTTGCAAACACCATGTCACTGAGGCACAGAAACAAAACCGGCAACTACGAAACATATTTTATAAGTGCCAAAAGTTTTTACATGCAGAAAGGGGAGGGGGAGTTTTGGGACGCATGGGGTAGAGGCTGAGCTGAAATGGGGGTCATCCTCAAAACAACCTCAGGACATGTTTGGGAATTTAAAGTTACTAGAAGATACACCTTTAACATAAAATATAAAAGCACGACAGGCCACGCAGGCTTAGAGTGAACAAGTTCTCCTAGTCTGCAGGCAGGACTCCCACCACCGAGCCCTGTTGACCAAATGGTCTAACTGTGAGAAGGAAAAAAGCACATTTGCAAGTCAGCCTCTACCTTCAGCATAAACGCCCTTGACGCTTTAATTCAACTGACAGACTCGCATTCTTCTAAATCCAGATGTCCAGAGCTCAGCCTTCCTACTTGAGGCTGATGCATGTGAATCATTTGTGTATTTTCTGAGATAAATACATGGTGTTGCCAATCAAAGTAGACAAATATAGTTGTGCTAAGTGGGGTGACACAGACATGCAAATTCCTGCTCAGAACTCATCGCAATCAGAGGCTGTACGGGAGGGATTAATCTAACATTGACTTATGAGATCTCTTTAATACCAAGTATTTTTTAAAAAAAAACAACTTTTTCCTTCACCTCTATTTTTTAACTATCCAAGTGTCTTAAAGTTTTACTTAAGTCTTGAGTTACAGAAGGCTAAACCTAAACTTCACTGAAACTAAAGCTGAACACAGCAGGAAAAACTAAAACTACAGGTTGCTTCTTTTAGCTTTCTTCCTGTTTGAGTCCAGTTTTCTAAATGGATATTCTAGTCTATGAATTCACTGCCAAAAAGAAAGAATTAGACTAAAAAAGCCACAAAGGCCACTTTCAACGTGACACCAGATAGTATTATGAACTTTGTTTAAAACATCTGTACAGTTTTACTAATAGCTTGGAAGCACCGTGTATTTCATGTCTTTTCCAGATGGAAAGGCTGTTTAGCCAATTTCAGTGAATTCCTTCCCCCTCCCCTTATAATGGCAGAGCTATAAACCTCTTGAAAAATTGGATCCTGGAAACAGTGACAGCTTTAACTACTGCTTTGTCGGTGTTGCCACTAATAGAAAACTCGCTGCGCTGGTGGAACAGCAGGCACTTGGAGGGAGAAGCGTGTCACATTGCCTACATCCAGGGCTACTTTGCCCGATTCCTCCCCAGGTATCAAATCAATACATGTTACTCATTTTCCTGCAGTTTTACTACAGCAGCTCTCTCCAATCCTATGGTTTACACCAAAACCCACTGGGAAAGGCATTGTGCACACAAGTGCACCGATCAGCCCTGGTGAATAAATCATCATCTCCCTTTAATTAAGATTAATGTTGCAGCCTTTCCAGGTTATAAAACCCAAAAAGTCCAAGCTGAAGGCATCGAGTTGGACAGAAACACCCTGCCTGCACATCTAAGGCAGCTGCAGCAATACTGGGAGGTTATCGGCTGAGCTGAAGAGTTCACCACCTCCCAATATGTATTTGCACTACATGGTGTTTGCAAACTGATAAGAATTAAGTAGTTCCACGTTCTCCAGCTTTCTCTCGCTGAAACTAATGAAGACCCTACCTGGGAATAAATAAGACACCAGTTTATTGTTAAACCTCCTGAAGAACCTCTGCCTCCGCTACCAGCTCCACTGAAGGCAAGTGATGCTGAGCTGTCGTTTTCACCCGATGCCAGTCTCTTCCACAGGGCTGCTTTGCCCTGCTCCAGAGCCAACGCTGTGACGCCTGTACCGACAGTTACAGCCTCACCAGGGCTACAGCCAGTAGTTCTGCCAACAGCACAAAATTAAGAGAATGGGAAAAGAGAATCCTATGGAAGCAGTTACACACTCTTCACAGAAAACCAGGCTCATATTCCTGCACAGCCAACAGGCAAAGCAGGAGCAAAGACAAGGCTCATTTACATGTACTGTGCTATACGACTTTAATTGTGAGATATGACTCAGGTAGATTTACTCCAGACATTTTGCTGAAGTCTTTGCAGGAGAGCTCATCAGCCAAGCTCTGCCCGATCAAGCACGCTTCTTGTTTAAATCCAGGGCACAACAGGAGATGAGCTCGTATTAAAAAAAGAAGAGGTCAAGAAAGGTGACAGTCCCTCCTGGGCAGGAAGCCTCTTTTCATATGCGTCAGGAAGTGCTACATTCACACATATGGAACTCTATAAATAAGAAACAAGCTAAACTTTGTCACTTGAGCATCCAAAAGCTTTAAAATCTATTCACAACCACCAGTGAAAAGTTAAGAAACACTCCAAACATTTTTCTCAAGAAGCTGCCTACCCTGGTACCCATTAAACTAGAAGGGTTATTAGGAGCAACACATGCAACCTCTGCACTATCCCTGCCCTGTGACACTTATATTGACAAGAAATTGCAATAAAACTGAGGGAAGGTCTATTTTATTTTGTGCTGTGTTTGCACAGTGCCTAGCATAACGGGTCCTCATCCATGGCTGGCTCGGTGAGCTGGAACCAATACCACAGTCACCTGATGTTCTCTGATGCAGGAAACTTTGGTGGAGACCTTCAGAAAAAGGCAGACTATGAAATGCAAATCTGGTAGCACTTCTAGCCTGCAGATTTTCCCCAGCTCAAGATTACAATCTGAATTTATTTTCACAGATTTTTTTTTTTTTATGGCATAGGTCACACATCAGTCATGGTAGTGCCTGATCTAAGATGCATGAAGGATTCTCAAGTGAAACATAAGTGAACCTAAACCCTCAAGAGAGTCAACTCAAAACTGCTGAGAGACACTGTTATTTGAGTACAAGGTAAAAAACCATGTGTGCTCTAGCTCTACCTCTGCTCTTCAAATCAAAGCATATATTCAAATATATAATCTTGCAAGCTAGATGGAAGAAGTCTGATCAAAAAGGTTTAATTTTCCTTTTCTTGCCCACTCTCCAGCAATTCCTTGCAGAGCTGCCAAAAACATGCAAGTGTTACAGGGCAGTGAAGCACTGCACAACCCCACTCCCTTAGAATCGGTACCCAAGAACCATCTGAGCTTTCAGAAATCCAGAGGCACAGAGAGTTACAGGCAAATAACTATTTGCTAATTATACTTCCAGGACTGACACTATTGAAATATGTGGTCATCCCTCAGGCCGTGCTGTCTCAAAAATCATCAAGGATCTGAGAAAGCAGTTTATTTCTCAAGTTTTTACTCTCTTCTGAATCCCATTTCACAAAATGAAAAAAGGGAATATTTTTCAAGCAGCCACAAGAATGTATTTTCATATTTTACATTTATTATTCAAATTAAATGTGATAAATGCTTAACTGCTGTTCCTACAAAACCCAGTTCAATTTATGAGTTGCCCCCCACAAAAGCTTCATGACAACATGGTCTTTTGCTAAGGATAAGCAGCACGAATATTTATTTATTTTAAATCAAGGGCAATGAAAACACATGGTTTTATAAACAAGAAAATACAAATCAAAATTAAGTAAGTACCATTGTACATTAGACAGAAAAACTATTTCCTATTTCTCCTATTTCCAGCTCAAGAGCATGAAAAAAATGTCCCTGGACACAAATCGTGCATAAAAAAATATAAATGGATATGTTGCTGAAACAGTGCTTAGGTGCCTGAATCCATATGTCAACATACAATTTTTATGCGCACACTAACACTTACATGAATAATT